GCATCTTTGGGGGCAAAAATTAATATAAGGCACTGTTTGATTTTCGGGGAAACAGGGTAGTGTAGCGTTAAGAATTATATACTGTACAACTCTTGATATGACTGGCCTACTGAATTGTATGATCTGTGGGTTATGGCCCAAGAAAACGGTTTCGAATAAATAAAGATAAAATAATTATATCTGGCTCTCATGAATATAGGGAGATATGATGGCCCAGTAAGGCAAGTGTTGGGCTGTCCACCACAGGTCAATGTTCAAACACACCAGCTAAGGGAGAACAACTAGACTGACCGCTTCTGTAAAGAGTTACAGACTTGGAAGTCCTAAGGAGCAGTTCTCTGTAGTTGTCAAGATTGACCCAATAGCGGTGGATTGGTTTTGGGGTTTGCTATAAAGCACACCAAGCAAACTACATCATGCAAGTCATTAAAACTAGCCCAATGTATTAAGAACAAGAAGAGATCATTCGAAAAATAGACAATGGACAGTCAAATGTTATTAAGAGGAACTATATGATCTCTTATTAATGTATTTAATCCTCATCATGGCCTCAGGAGGCACCTAATTATCTCGTTTATAGATTGGATACTGAGAGTACAGATATTTCAGCTATACAGAGAAGCTGGGGTTGAAATCCAGGCATCTGACACCACAGTCAAAGTCCATTTGATAAAACTCATGTGTTCCCTCCAAGTGATTTAGAACAGTAATAGGAGCGCATAATAAAAGTACACAATATATAGGCAACACCCAGCATAATTAATGACATAAGGTGAGAAACATTTCCAGTAAATTCAACCCGACTGGATTGGCCAGTGCCACCACTTGGACTTGGCACCATTTTGATATTTCCAGGAATAAAATTACTCAAAGCACTTGTTACAAGTGGCAGGCATAACCAACTACTTTCATTGTTTGGAAATATAGTTTTTAATGAAAATGACAGGGGGGAAGATATCCGTGATGAAAACAATGAAAAGTACTTCAAAATAGTGTGAGGATGAGTTGAAGATGAGTATAAAATTCTGCCTTGAGGCAAAAAAAGAAGAGTTGAATACAGTGGAAAATATGACTGTTCTTGGTTAGAGGAAGCAAATATTAATTAATTTTTAATTAATGAATTAATAATAATTAATTAATGTGACCATTCCCTTAATTCTTTCATATTAATACGATATTGATCAAAGTTCCTGCGTAAATTTTTGTGCCTGAAGAAGGTTGACGTTAACTCACAGAGTTCAACCAAAGGTGAGAATCTTGCCAATTCCAGGAACGCAGCAAGAGAAACCCACGCAGGACACAGTGCTGACGCTTCCCTGTGATTTTGCTCCATGGCAGCTGTCAGGAAGCTTGGTTTCCCCTGCCTTGTCGAGTGATCCCATACTGCTCTACGCTTCTTTTTTTTCTGCAGAGACTGCCTGTCAACTCTTTCTGGATGTTGTGAAACTGGTGTATTGTGATGTCTCCACATGCAAGGGCCCAGAGTTACCGTGAATACTGGTAATTTTACATAAGATCGCAGTCTCAAGAATAAATTTAAATACTTCTATTATCATTCTCCAGCCTGTTCCTCCTGAAGCTTGCTCTGGCCAGCTCCACACATTCCTAAATCTCTACTTGTGCTACCTGCTCCCTGGTACCCCTGGTGAACAGGGGTCTACCAGGCAGGTACAGGGCAACCTTTGCAATCTTCCCCTCTTCCGGGCGTATGGAGGGTTGGACAAAAACATTCTCTTAATAAGCATTGTTGTGCCTTCCCATTTTAGGATTTTGTTCAGTCAGACATGGTCTGGCCTTCATCTTCCTGCTCTGTAATTTTTCAATTTCTACCCAACAATTGAACATGAACATTGCTATCTTAGCTATGGTGAACCACACCGCCCCCACCAGCCACACTAATGCTTCCACAGAAAGCTCCCCTGCTGACTCCCAGGACTATGAGAATGGAATTCTAAATGGATTTAAGGCAGTGGTAAGTTTAA